AACATTCCTTCGAGAAGGTTCCTGATACCATCCCTGTGCCTTCCACTGTTTCGGCGCGTATGTGAACACATTTGCAGAGATGCCAACACATATGTGAAGCAATCTGTAGTTTTTGGCCATCAAATTAGTAGTTCGAGGGTCACGTAGTAACCCGAGTTTGCTAGGGGGGTCCAGCATGCCCCCCTAAAAAATTTTGATTTTGAGATGCAATTTCCTGCATTCTGAGGGTAAAAAATGACAATAAATTGACAAAAAATGACAATAATTGACAAACAAAAAAAAAAATTTGATGACAGTGAAATTCGTAGTTTGATACAAACTGGTCGTAGTGGTGCAAAAGGAATAGAAATTCGTATAAAATACGGATAAATCGTAGTGGTTGGCATCTTTGCATTTGAGACTAACAGGGCTTACTAGAATCCCACCACTCCACCACAGAGTCACAGCAGTAGACGTGAGATGAGCGCTGTCGCTCTGCGGCACTTGTTTGTAATTTATCTTTTCTAATATCGGTAGTATACCTAGCTCTATTTGAAGAGCTTCTAGCGGTGTGTTACTGTGTGCATTTAGAATTTTGTGTAAGCACTCATATTGGAAGTCTTCTAACATTTTTCCTCCAAATTCCATTTTTCCTCCAGGTTCATCCAAATTTCACTGTTATTTAAGAAGGCGGGTAGCACCGTGCACTCGTATAGTTTTACTCTCGCTTCTATCGTATATTTTCCATAGTTTTGCTCATCACTCAGTGATATAATTTCTCTCATCATGTATTGGCATTTTTCTGTTCGGGCTTTAATCATATCTGTATATCCTCCATTCTCGTTTAGTACATAACTACATAAATACGAAATATATTTACTACCAAAGTCTTAATGTTTCTATACTCTCTTTCACTTATTAATTATTGCCGACAATTTCCTGCCAATGCCGTACGTCCAAATGCTCATCTGCAACAAACGCTGGCTGCCGCCATGGCTGCCGCTGCACACTGACACATAAATATATAGCAGGTAGGAAAGCGTGCTGCCAAAATTCGCTCGGCGCTCACTTGATTTTACACGAATACAACACAAATATTCAACCATTCTACTCCATCTTTGTTTCTATTTGAAGAACAGTGTTCAATTGTTATAAAAACATACTGGCTGTGTTCGTAACCAAGCTGTGTCACGCGAAATCACAAAGTGTAATAGCTGGTAATAACTCGTAATAACTGGTAATAGCTGATAATGTAAAACCAGTCCCGACTGCAGGGAAAGCCACGTCAACACTCGAGAGCTAGTGCTTCCCCCTATAAACAACAGCCACGGTCATCACACGCCGAGGCGTGATTGGTTGATTCGGTCGAGTTAACCTCATTACATGGCACGCTCCCACATCCCTCCATCCCATGACCGGAAGCACTCCTCAGAGGTCCAGCCTCGGAGGCGGCACTCCACGGGTGAGCCGAGCTGAGCGACGCACCGGTGGAGCAGCTCGATGTGGAGACGCCGGCTGCCCAGCCACAGGCCCACCAGGTGCAGCCTCAGGGGCAGCGGCCTGAGCCTCAGCTGCACGCAGGGCCGGCAGTGGTGAATCCTCACGCGGAACCTCACGGCTTGTAACCTCGGGCAGCACAGGAAATTCCGGCTTAGCTGGGTCCTCAACCTGTTCAGGCAGTGCGGGTGCATCCAGGTTCCTTGAAGGACTGAACAGCTCTCTCTGCGAGGCCATTCGACGATGGGTGGTAGGGTGCAGTGAATGTATGACGGATGCCATTAGCTGAGATGAACATGGCAAACTCTTCACTGGTGAATGTAGGCCCGTTATCGCTGACAATGCAGTCTGGTAGACCATACGTGGCGAAGCAGAATCGCAGCTTCTCCACTGTTTTCTCACTGGTTATTCTCTGCATCAT